CACGGAGCTCACATAAACTTTTCTCTGGCTTCAATCCCATTCTGACATTTAAGAGAAAAGTTGACAGTCATCGATTAAAGGCAAACATTATAGTGAGGTGATATGTATGCTAGGTGGCTATGACTAAAGATGTGGTTTTGCAAGAATTAGCTGGAAAGACATACTGGCGTGCTGAAATGAGTCTCTAAGCTGGTGGATCAAGCTAACATCTTTGCCTTGGTCTCATTGGGGCTCGTGCTTGTTTACAGGCTTTGATTTTCTTCATTTACTCACTCAATAAATGTTCACTGAGCACTGTAATGGAAACTGCTGGTGGTGCCCACAAATCTAATCTCCTCCCTTCCCTGAGAAAGTAGCTGTCCAGTTAAAACCTAAATTATCTCACCCATCTTCTCGGGAGGGGCGGTGACCTAAGTTGGCACTAATGGAGACTGAATGGAAGCGACAAGGGCAACGTTGGCATAAAAAAAAAAGCCCTTAACCTGGACTTTTGCTGTTACTTGTCTGCTTGTTAAAAATGGAAAAGTGGAGGCTACCTACCTGCCATGGACTATTTGTGAGAAGGAAATAAACATCTGTGTTTTGGAGTTTCTTTGTTACATCAGCTCTGCCTTCATTTTTTACAAATGTGAGAGCCTTCTGAGTATCAAGTCCTTTTTGACAAGCCAGGGTTCCAGCTTAGCAAGATACACATGGTGCACGCCCCCATAAAATGGATAGTTTAATGTCTATCCTAGTCTTCTACCTGGGAATCAAAACCCATGAGATAAGTGTCTATCATACTCAATAATCAAAATAAAATAGGGCAGGAAGCAAGAGTATAAGAGTGGATAAAGATCTGGGCTTTAGAGACTTCCTTGGTGACCAGTGGTTAAGACTTCACCTTTCAACACAGTGGGTGTGGGTTAGGCCCCTGGTTGGGTAGCTAGGATCCCACATGCCTCGAAGCCAGAAAACCAAAACTGTAACAAACTGTAACAAATTCAATAAAGACTTTAAAAATGGTCCACATTAAAAAAAAAAAAAAAGACCTGGACTTCAATGTTGAAAAAATCCGAATTCAAGTCCTTGCTCTATCTCTTATAAACCATATTCTTAGGGCAAATCACTTAATTTACATAGATCTCATTTACCTCCTTTGAAGCAGGGACGACAGGAATAATTGTACGTACCTAATACAGCCCTGCTGCTGCTGCTGCTGCTGCTAGGATGCTTCAATCACGTCCGACCCTGTGTGACCCCATGGACTGCAGCCCGCCAGGAATTTCATGGAATTCTCCAGACAAGAGTACTCAGTGGGTTGCCATGCCCTCCTCCAGAGGATTTTCCCAACCCAGGGAATCGAACCCAGGTTTCCTGCATTTGCTGGTGGATTCTTTACAACTTTGAGCCACCAGGGAAGCCCCTAATAGTGTCCTAGTGACAATCAAAAGGATTAGACATGTAAGTAGATTAAACCCGGACTTGAGCATCACCGATGTGATAATCAGAGTTCGGTCTTGTTATCATTTACTTTCATGGGGAGTGAAAGTGAAAGTCTTAGTCACTCAGTCATGTCCAACTCTTTGTGATCCCCTGGACTATGTAATCCACCAGGCTCCTCTGTCCATGGGATTTCCCAGGCAAGAATACTGGAGTGAGTTGCCATGCCCTTCTCCGGGGGATCTTCCCAACCCAGGAACTGAACCCGGTTTTCCTGCATTTGCAGGTGGATTCTTTACCACTGAGTTGCCAGGGAAGCCCATGACACTTTACACCTCTGCCGTAATTCAACCAACTGAGTTAATTCAGTCTCATAATTATGGTTGCTCATCTGGTACCCCCCACTATAGCACAAGGGTTTCCCGCATAGCTCAGATGGTAAAGAAACGGCTGCAATGAGGGAGACCCAGGTTTGATCCCTGAGTGGGGCAGACCCCCTGGAGAAGGGCATGGCAACCCACTCCAGTATTCTTTCCTGGAGAATTCCATGGACAGAGGAGCCTGGCAAGCTACAGTCCACGGGGTTGCAAAGAGTTGGACTTGACCGAGCAACTAACACACACTGTAGCACAAACAGCTATTTCTGAAGTAGCTCTGTCCCAGAACTTAGTACAATGCCTGGTATGAACGAGGCACTCCATTCATAACTGTCACGAATAACTGCCATGTGAGCTTGAAGGGATACTAAGACTGGGGAATGAATAAATAAAAACCTACTAAGACGGTTATTTGTTTGATGCAAAAAAAAGTAGGCATTTGCTTTTGAAGATAAATGGATGGCAATGAAACATTTAATAAAATCCATCAAGCCTAAGAAATTAATACAGGGAGGCCCCATGATGAAAATGAGTATTTTCCAAAAGTTATATGCCAACTGCTTTGACCTCAAAAACATAATGAGATGTTATACATCATCTTAAGGGTCCAGTTCACAAGAGCTTTTTTAACCGTAGTTTAAAAGCTGACACATTAAACTTAGTTAAAACTGACATATTGTACAATGGCATTAGAAACAAATTGTAGCAAACAAGATGATTGAAATGCAAAAAAAAAAAAATGGGGGGGAAACAAAGTAGAAAAATCAAAATTTTTGTTCTTTGGTGAAAGTAAATTTAAGTAGAGAAAGATAAGAAAGGAAATGTTGACTCTTAAAGGTTTGAATGCATTTTTGGTGGGTTTATAAGTTCAAGGCACTGGTTCTTTATTCTCCCTAATTCCACATCAAAGTTTCCAGCTTTCATCCCCTTTACTATAGAGATACTGCCAGCAGTACTCTCATACGGAATAGTCTGGATTAGCCCCTTTTTCTCACAAGTGGAACAAAGAGAGGGAGATAAATGTCTCTAAGATAACTGGAAAAGAATTGGGGGGGAAACTGTAAGCTGTATGTGTATGTACTTAGCCGCCCTGTTGTGGCCAATGCTTTCTGACCCTTTGGACTGTAGCCCACCTGGTCCCTCTGTCCTTGGGATTTCCCACACAAGAATACTGGAGTGGGTTGCCATTTCCTTCTCCAGGGGATCTTACGAACCCAGCGATCAAACCCACATCTCCCGTGTCTCCCGCATTACAGGCATATTCCTTACCCACTGAGCCATCAGGGAAGTCTGTGAGTTGTATAAGGAAGGTTAAAAAGGAAATAAAGTAAATTGGTCTGAAACACAGTACCTGGTATGAAGTATGCTGACATATGATCAGTGAAATGACAAGAAAATGGAGAGATGAGGCAAAAGCTTCATAATACTTTAAAAGAGAGAGAGAGAAAGCAGGAAAAATAATGGTTCACAGTATTCTTCCATGTTGTACAACAAATATCATCAGCCCAAGGAATTTTGGTTGTTAATAAGAACAAGAGGAGCAGACACTTAACTATATGGGAGAAAAAGAAGTATAGTATTTTCTAATTATGAAAATAGGTTAATCGCAACTTATTTTTAAGTTCATAAAAACTTAACTGACCTCTTCCTTGTCTGTGAAGAGGAGAACATAAAGGAATAATGTAAAATGGGTATTTAAGTTTACTGAAAATATAAGGAAGAAACTCCCTGACAGAACATACATACAAAGGCTATTTTATGGCAAACTATGAAATCAACGTGGAAAATGAAATGCTAAGAGGGAACCATTCCTAACCTCTTACTTAAAAATTCAGTCACAGTTTAAAAAGATACAGATCGAATAATGGAGAATCCCAGAAAAATCTCTGAAGCTTCCTACATGATTTTAGCAGAATAAAAATGATGCTTTCTGGTTGAATGGGACACTTTTTTTTCCTGTGTCTTAGCCATACTCTCCCTCTGCCCCACTCATCCTCTCCCCACCTCCCCCATTTCCTCCCACTCTCTCTCTCCCTCTCTGCCACACACACACACACACACTCACACACACACACTCACTCACACACTCACACACACACACTCTCACACACACTCTCACACACACTCACTCACTCACACTCTCACACTCACTCACTTACACACACTCACACACACTCACACTCACACTCACACTCACACACTCACTCACACACACACTCACTCACACACACACTCACACACACTCTCACACACACACTGACACACACACTCACACTCACTCACTTACACACACACTCACACACTCACACACACTCACACTCACACTCACACACTCACACACACACACACTCACACACACACACACTCACACACACTGACACACACTCACACACACTCACACTCTCACACACACACACTCACACACACTCACACACACACTCACACACACTCACTCACTCACTCACACACACTCACTCACACTGACACACACACACACTCACACACACTCACTCACTCACACTGACACACACACACTTACACACACACACTCACTCACACACACTCACACACACACTGACACACACTCACTCACACTGACACACACACACACTTACACACACACTCACTCACACACTCACAGTCATTCACACACTGACACACTGACACACACTCACACACACACTCACACACTGACACACACTCACTCACACACTCACACACACACTCACACACACACTGACACACACTCACTCACACACACTCACTCACACACTCACACACACACTCACACACACACACTCACTCACACACTCACACATTCACTCACTGACACACACTCACTCATACACACACACACTCAAAGAGCACCAATGCAAACATCACTGTCAGCACCAAGGACAGCAACCTCCACTTTGACACAGTGTAAGAGACCATCCTCAGAAACCAGGTGTACATCTCAGGAGCTCTTGTTTATTTTTTTAATTTATTTATTTTCAACTGAAGGATAATTGCTTTATAACACTGTGCTTGTTTCTGTCATACATCAACATGCATCAGCCGCAGGTATACATATGTCCCCTCAGTCTTAAACCTCCCACTTCATCCCACCTCTCTAGGTTGTCACAGAGACCTGATTTGAGTTCCCTAAGTCGTATAGGAAATTCAGGAGCTCCTTTGAATTCAGATGAGAAGTGCTTGACTGCCCAGCTAGGTCAGTCGGTAGAGCATGGGACTCTTAATCCCAGGGTTGTGGGTTCAAGCCACATGTTGGGCAGTTGCTCAACATTTTGTGCTTCCCTTGTAGCTCAGCTGGTAAAGAATCTACTTGCAATGCGGGAGACCTGCATTCGATTTCTGGATTGGGAAGATCCCCTGGAGAAGGGACAGGCTATCCATTCCAATATTCTTGGGCTTCCCTGGTAGCTCAGCTGGTAAAGAATTTGCTTACAATGCGGGAGACCTGGGTTCAATCCCTGGATTGGGCTTGCAATGCGAGAGACCTGCATTCGATTTCTGGATTGGGAAGATCCCCTGGAGAAGGGACAGGCTATCCATTCCAATATTCTTGGGCTTCCCTGGTAGCTCAGCTGGTAAAGAATTTGCTTACAATGCAGGAGACCTGGGTTCAATCCCTGGATTGGGCTTGCAATGCGGGAGACCGGGGTTCAATCCCTGGGTTGGGAAGATCCCCTGGAGAAAGGAAAAGGCTACCTGCTCCAGTATTCTGGCTTAGAGAATTCCATGGACTATACAGTCCGTGGGGTTGCAAAGAGTCAGACATGAGTGAGTGACTTTCACTTTCACTTTCTAGACGTGCTTGAAGTTTAACTCAAAGTTGCAAACACCTGATCTATAACACTACTTTTCTTTTCAGAATATGATTATCTGTACTTATTAAAACAGTGGACATTTTTACTATATGTTCAGAACAAATAATTGACAAAACTGAGGATCAGAGTCTGCTAGAGCTGGAAAGACCCTTCAGGATTCTTCATGCCAGCCTCTTCTTTGTGAAGATGAAAAGAGTAAGGACAAGAGGTTATGAAGGTGGTTTCCAAATAGACTTTTTATTCTGGCTATTATAGAAACGGTAATGTTTCTATGTACTTTGAAATTTTGACAAAATTGAGGGGGGAGGTTCAAGTTCATAGTACTTGAAGTCAGAGTTTTTATTCAACCAGATTCCAATAATCACTTGTCACATGAAAAATGCCAAGTCAAAAATTTTAAATCTAACCCTTGACTCTTAACACATTACCACTTTTAACAACAATTTAACAATGGTAAATTGGCTTATGGCATTGTTTTATTTTTTACAAAATATAACCAATAACTCCCCACCTCATCTGCGACATGCTATATGTTTCAAAAATATGACTGCAGGTTATCTTTAATTTTGTGTCATGAAGACTAGTATAGTACTTGAATTTCTCCCCAGATACACATTTAGTGGAAATGCTTCTAAGTTAAGTGTGTTTATATTCAATTCAAGAATTACCTCTTTTAGGAGACCAAGCACTTGAAGCGTGGGCTCTATATCCCTCCTCCTCACTTTCATACTAATCCATGCCCATCTGTAACAGTCCATTTATCTCTTTGTATGAAAATTAGCACTTTAGGGGCCTGCCCTCTAGTTCTGTGAGCAACTTAAGGCTAGGTGCAAAGACCTTCCCATCCTATCTCTGTGTTCTCAAAATGAGTTGCATGAAAGACATTGTACTATGTACTGGAGCTGTGCTATGTGTGAAATCGCTTCAGTCGTGTCCAACTCTTTACAACCCCATGGACTGTAGCCCACCAGGCTCCTCTGTCCATAGGATTCTCCAGGCAAGAACAGTGGAGTGGATTGCCATGCCCTCCTCCAGAGGACCTTCCCCACCCAGGGATCAAACCTGCATCTCATATGTGGCCTGCACTGGCAGGTGGGTTCTTTATGACTAGCATCACCTGGGAAGCCTGTACTGGAGCTGTGTGTTAGTCGCTCCGTCGTGTCCAACTCTTGTGACCCCATGGGCTGTAACCCCCCAGGCTCCTCTGTCCATGGGATCCTCCAGACAAGAACACTGGAGTGGGTTGCCATTCCCTTCTCCAGGGGATCTTCCTGACCCAGGGATTGAACCCATGTCTCCTGCACTGCAGGCAGATTCTTTACCATCTGAGCCACCAGGGAAGCCACCACTGTAGAACTGTAACTCTGATTAAAACATTATTCCTAACTTCAGAAAGTTTAGAATTAAGTGAGTGAGAGACAGAGAGAAGGAACTTATTATACTGTGTCTTAAGAGAGAGCAAATAGGTTCTGATGTCTTAGAGATCGGGATTTAAGTCTTAGATCTGCTATTCTAAACTCCTTGGGAAACTAATTGAATGTAGCCAAAAATGAGATGATGGCAGTAATAGCTACTACCTTGAATTGTTTTGAAGATTAAATAACAATAAGTGAAAAACTCTTCTTGGCCACAGTAAGTGCTAAATAAGCATGAGAACACATACACAGCTGTAAAATTGATGGCGTGTATATAAGACACTGACAAAACAAAGAGGAGGAGTGTACAGATTTATCATATTTTAATCAAAGATTTAACTACTCTAGAGAGACATAAAGGAGTGATAAATGTACCAGTGAATGATAAAATAAATCATTATTTAACAAGAGATGGTTGCTTGATTAAGCTGATGGGCGCTGCAGCAGCATAGAAGGAAAGTTATGGGAAACTCCCCAAAGGAAGTGGTATTTCTATGAAGGCAGGAAAGGTGAGTAGGTACTGACCACATGCAGAGGGGCAAAAGGCAATCCAGGTTGAGAGAGCACTTTTTGAAAAGACCTAAAGACAAGAAAGCACAAGGGGCTTGCCAGTAATCCCAAGTAGTTCTGTTTAACTGTGTTCAGTTAAGCATGCCTCAGAGGCTGCTGAGTGGTGGCCAGACAGCAGACTGTAGCTCATCAGAATCTTAGGTGTCCTGCTAAGGAGCTAGGACTGTATCATGAGGCAACTGATGACCACTAAAGAATTTTACTCATGGAACTAAAGTAATGTAATTTATAGTTTAACACGATGACTTAATCTGGAATTTGGAAACCAAGTTGGGAGAAAGCGTAATGGTGAAGTGACGAGACCCAAAGCAAGATCCCTGAGCAAGAGACAAGTGGAACAATCTGGACAAGGGCTAAAAGCGGCCTAAATATTTTGTATCCCAAGTGCTTAGCACACAGGGTCTCTGACTCCAGACAGGATCCTAATAAACTTCTGTGGAACTAAAAGAATTGCCATGCCATACTGGCAAAGAAGTGGCATCTCTCCTGGCTACATGGACTCACCTGTATCTATTCCTCATTTCTTCATCTTACGCAGTCCCATGTAGCTAAGTCTTGGGAGCCCTGATGAGAGGAAGGTAAGGAGATGAATAAGAGAGGTCTGATCACAAAGTGAATCACTTTATATTTCACAGTTAGGATTAACACTGAGTTTTATGCTAATTGGGCTTCCCTGCTAGCTCAGCTGGTAAAGAATCCATCTGCAATGCAGGAGAACGTGGTTTGATCCCTGGGTCAGGAAGATCCCCTGGAGAAGGGATAGGCTACCCACTCCAGTGTTCTTGGGCTTCCCTGGTGGCTTAGCTGGTAAAGAATCTGCCTGCAATGTGAGAGACCTGGGTTTGATCCCTGGGTTGGGAAGATCCCCTGGAGAAGGGAATGGTGGCCCAGTCCAGTACTCTGGCCATGGAGAATTCCATGGACTGTATAGTCCATGGGCTCCCAAAGAGTGGAACATAACTGCACAACTTTCACTTTATGCTAATTGTGATATCAGGTTTTATATGTGCATACAACTTACATTTCTTGGGCCATGATCTGACTTATAATCTGCCCCAAATTATTAAATAGCAGAAGATATTAGTGTGTATAAGCCTATTTATTTATATTAACGCAATACATTTCTACCTTCATATTTGTATATCACCCCTAGTTGAAAAAGAAAATGCTGCAATAAAAATAAAACTTACTGGTAAGGTAGATCTTCCATCTTGCTGTGTCTGTTTCTGGTTTCTTAAATCTTTTTTTTCCTTCACTGTTCAGTCTGTTCAGATTGGTGCTTGATGTGGGATTTGCAATGCTCGTGACCATAGCCAAATACATCTACATAGGGCATACCCTCCTTGTTCAATCTATTATAGTTCCAGAGGACTTTCAAAGGGCCTGGTGACTTCCGTGGCTTCCCAAAGGCTCTGTGGGTCTGCTTCCTCCTGATCCCCCATTTCTTGGCATCTGTGTTGGAACAGGTGTGAGCAGACACAGGCAAGTCCGTGGAGCCCCGGGTCCAGGGCTGGCACAAGGTAAGGGTTACCTTCCTGCAGGAGATGACTCCGACAATGTTTGCCAGGATGCCAGCTTTCAATTAGTGGCATCTTTTGCTCCATGTCCTCGGGCAAATGTCCAGTTTATCGTGAGCAGACTCAGGCTGTTCTGCGAGACGGCACTAATGCCAGAAAAGGGATGCTTTCCAGCTCTTTGCCCCATTGTGATATCAGGTTTTATATGTGCATACAACTTACATTTCTTGGGCCATGATCTGACTTATAATCTGCCCCAAATTATTAAATAGCAGAAGATATTAGTGTGTATAAGCCTATTTATTTATATTAATGCAATACATTTCTACCTTCATATTTGTATATCACCCCTAGTTGAAAAAGAAAATGTTGCAATAAAAATAAAACTTACTGGTAAGGTAGATCTTCCATCTCGCTGTGTCTGTTTCTGGTTTCTTAAATCTTTTTTTTCCTTCACTGTTCAGTCTGTTCAGATTGGTGCTTGATGTGGGATTCGCAATGCTCGCGACCACAGCCAAATACATCTACATAGGGCATACCCTCCTTGTCCAATCTATTATAGTTCCAGAGGACTTTCAAAGGGCCTGGTGACTTCTGTGGCTTCCCAAAGGCTCTGTGAGTCTGCTTCCTCCTGATCCCCCGTTTCTTGGCATCCGTGTTGGAACAGGTGTGAGCAGACACAGGCAAGTCCGTGGAGCCCCGGGTCCAGGGCTGGCATGAGGTAAGGGTTACCTTCCTGCAGGAGATGACTCCGACAATGTTTGCCAGGATGCCAGCTTTCAATTAGTGGCATCTTTTGCTCCATGTCCCCGGGCAAATGTCCAGTTTATCGTGAGCAGACTCAGGCTGTTCTGCGAGACGGCACTAATGCCAGAAAAGGGATGCTTTCCAGCTCTTTGCCCCATAGCCAAGGAAGACTGGTCTATCAACGGAAGGCATGGT